CGAAGAGTAAACCTGTCTAAGCCACGAACTGTTTGTACTGAAAGTCATCAGGAATAATACTACGAAAAGTCTATTGTACATTTAATTAAGGCACGTCAATCCTACAAAGAACATGTCTACTAAAGCAGCAATGTTTGTTATTTTCCCATTTAGTACATCTTTAAAAGTACAATAACCAGTAGTTGCAGTATTTCTGATGATATCACTGTTACATACGAGAAAGAAATTGTACAACTACCAAACACCACTTAACTAGGAGGCTTGACATACCTGTTTGAGGTTTCCACTCAGTGCTGCGTAGATTGCTCTCTCATATCTATTAAACTGCTCCTAAAATAAACAGTAGAAAAAAAATAGAACTTTTAATTACAAAACATAACTCTTCTAGTTACTTTACATCCTACTAGAGATTAATCCATTACAAAATGTTCCATCTAACAGTTTCCAAGAAAAGCTGGAAAATCACAGGACACAGCAGCAGCCAAAATAAGAACATCAAGTGACTTCCCCTTTGCTGGTATCCCCTTCTGACTTATCTGAAAAATAAATATTGACCTGGAAAGAAAGCAACGTTTCTCCTCTCCCATTCAATTAAGTCAAGATGAAAGTCAAAGTTACTGTCAAGAGTTTCACTTTCAACCAAATAAAAAAAAAGTCAGACATTTCCTAAGCCTGAAAAACTGGTGCCGATTATGTAGATTTCTCACCACAAGACATAAATTCATTATTTCAGAAGTCTTCTTAGAAACATTAATTGCAAATTCTGTAAGTAGCAAACACAGAGGGGGTAGATTTACTTAAAATCATGTTACAGAGTTCAGAAAAGTTCAAATTTATATAGTACTATCAAGCAAATCAGCATTATCTTACCTCTTCAGCCATACGCCAACAACTTATTTTCCAAATGCACCTGTATGGATTCCCTTGAACAGGCTCCAGGTCTTTTCCTATATGCAAAGGATAATTAAAAAAAAAAAAAGGGAAAGGACGGGGGAAAAGAGAAAAGAAGGGAGAAAAAAGAGACAAAAAGAAAAGGAAAAAAAAAGAAAAAGCTGCTATTAAAAAAAAAAGAGAAACGAGTAACAAGGTAAAGTCTACTTTCTATTATTAACCCAATTTAAATCCCTTTGGAACTCTGCCCAAAGCATTTTGATGCTTTTGACTGGACCACAAGGTGGCTTTTTCTGGGAAGTTTGGTGAATGCACATCTTAAAAGTCACAGTATTTTGAAAGCTTAGCTTCTATATAGCTTTGAAGAAAACGTTTTTGACCATAACACATCTATGATTTTTACATCTGGAAAACATGAAGTTAAGGAGAAAAGGAATTCTTATATCTTAAGGAATACAAACTTCTAAAAAAATGTCACTGCATCAGTGCTGCTATTCTGTGTGCTTCTGCAAGATGGCCTGCATCATGGAATTAAAACCCCTATAACAGCAGGATAGGTAGGTACACTCAAAAGAAAGCTAGGACACCAGTGAAGCATGCAGATAAAAGTAACAGGCTATTAGGATTTGAAAAGTAGGAAAGCATTATGCTTTGCAGCCCCAGCTATGCACGACACTTAGACATGTTTTTAAATTCTTTGCTAGATCCTGCAATGTCCTGAGCACAAAGAGAAGAAAGGTACTGTTATAAATAGGACTATGTACAAGGAACCCCTGAACTGAGGAGAAAGGTAATTTAAGAATTTTCAAGTATTTTAAAAGCACTCTTTTTCCTACATTTACATTTGCTGAACTCTAGTCCTACTCATACCTTTCTGAAGCTGTATATAGAGTCCGACTTTGAGTCTGTAAGCAATGAAATGTTTGCTAGGTGGCACAAGTCAGACGTTGAGAAAATACAGACTGAAATACTATATGGAGGTGGAGAAGATCTGCCCAGAACTCTGAGACATCTATTTCCTAGTGATTATGCTTGATTTTCAAAATGAAAGTGACTTCAGCATGTTAAGTGGATTCAGTGAACTCATACCTTGAGCTGAAATAATTTCATATTAGTTTTCACACGTTCCACAGACATGGTAAAATATTTTAGATACAAAAAAGGCTCTTAAGATGAAAGAGTTTTTTCTCTTTGCCACAGACAGATATCAAGAGAAAGCTCTCTGCCCTATTTTTACATGTCTCAAATGCACTTTGAAGTAGATACCTCCATTTATGTTAGGATCATGATACAATTTCCATCCTTCCAAAGTTGCAGCTCTCCAAGCCTGACCACATCGTTTGCATAAGCGCTGTGCCTGAAAAATAATGGATTTTCTCAGCAACAGACTTCAAGGTAGTAAAACCACTAGCTTCTCCTTTAAAAATTTAAGCATTATTAAAATAGTTAATTTGCATAGAGATTCTACTATGGAAAAAAAAGCACAAAGAACCTTAAACTCAAAACAACTGAAAGATTTCAAAGTAAATAAAACGTCATCAGTGTTTTTTCTACTAAACATTTTAGTTTTTCAGTCAGTATTTATAGCAATGTGAGAAATGCACTACAGTCTCATCTTTGCTAGCTTAAACAGCTGTTAGGCATCCTTCTGGTAAGTTTAGTTTAAGGTGTTGTCTTGTTGCTTAGATGTATAATCCACCTTTTCATGCAGTCTTCTACTTTTCCAGTTGACTTAGCCTTCCAAACCCCTCATGCACTTCTAAAAATAGCAATCCCACCTTTCCCATAATGATATTCAATAGTCTATGCATAGCACAAACAGGTTTCATTCAAAGCTATTTTGAATAGCATGGAAAGTAGAACAGAAACTCTACAAAAAAGCTTGCCGACAATTCTTCCAATCCTGCACCCCAACAAAAAACAAACCCAGTCAGTCATCTAAAGATTATCTAAGTAGTCTGACTGGTACTGTTCCAGGACTGACAAAATAGTATGAACAGCCAGACAAACTGCAAGATGCAGTCTTTTTTTTTTTTTTTTAGCCAAATTCTGTTCTTTTTACACTGGAAGGCTGCAGATATTCAGCCATTTTGGGAATGGTAACAAACAGTAAATTTAAAGAATAGACCAGTAAGTTGTTCTAGCTTACCTGTGTATTACCTGTTGTACGGTAAATAAACAGAGGTTCATTCTTAATTTAGAGTAAGCTGAAAGTATTTTAACTTACTCTTTCAGTAGCGAATAACCCACTTCACGCTTAACACACAGTAGCGACTGCAGAACAACTGATGCTGCAAATTTGTATTCATATCGCCCTGCAGCAACATGTTCACGTGCCCATATTATTAGAAAATGAATAGATGTGCACCACAGTGGAACAGAATACTAGCAAGTAACCATATTCCTAAGTCCAAGGTCTTGGGCACAAGAATCTCAAGTGTTGTCCCCTGTCATCTCGTCCCCATCCCTCAGTTACTCAAATGTCATTACATATACATAGAGCCTAGTATAAGGGAATCAGTTTCCAGCTGAGGCCTTTAGACAACACCATAATAGAAGTATTTACACAATTAAATCATGAAAGCCACTTCTTAATTGGGAATTGTTATTCAGAATAGCTTTAAGACTGAAATTGCCTGGATGTTACTCAGCTAAGGATTAATGCAAAGTATACACATCATATATTCTCTCTAAGATAGGGAACAAGCAGAGTTGCAGTAAAAGAGTTAACAGAGGACAATAATGTGCTTTCTAGCATACTCAGATAAAATCTAGCAGAGTTTTCACTGCTGAAGACCTTGCCAAACAATAAAGGTAGGAAAACGAAAGGTAGAAAGCAAGAAAGGAAAGTTATTTTAACTAATAAGAGTAACAACTGTAAATAACTACATTTCTTCTGATGGTAGTACCAGCCTATGGAGCCTGTGCACTGGTCCCCAGTTCTCAGTCCTGGGACACTGATGTGCCTCCAAACGTGCCACTGCAGTGGTTTGTACAAGGGAAAAAATAGCCCTGACTCTGATCCTCAACTCCACTCAGATCATATACCCAAGGGAACATTAGAACAGCAGAGCAAGTAAAGTTTGCTTAATTTAATGCTATTTTTAAGGAAAGCATACATCAAACCTCTCTCTCTAGTTAAAATTGCAAGTGCATTCCACTCTAATATATCTAGAAGGAAGCTTGTAAGATAATCCACTGATTATTACAGATGCAATTAGGAAGTTCTTTGAAATATTCGGTGTGTTTTTCTGGCAGTATTTAGTATCAAGCCACTACAGTAAAAAAATTATTGTCAAACAACCAAAACACCAAAAGATACAATGTTTTTTCCATAACATCTATTCTACACATGAAATCACTTAACTAAATGCAATATTTTATTAAAATAGTAATTTAGCAGTCCATCACTGTCCTTATTGATAATAAACTGGAAATTAAATCACTACAAGCCAAATTTAAACAGACACTTTAGTCCACAGCTTTTCATTAGCTTAAATATAGATTTAAATATAGATTTGAAATAAGTTAAACTAGTTAACCAAGAAGAAACTATAACTTTCTGCAGCTTACCTCATCTGTCACTCCTGCTCTGATGAGAGTGAAGAGATACTTCAATAATCTTGCATCATCTTCTCGATCCAAATCGTCAAGTGGCAGTTTCTGTCTTATAGGAGCATCTGGATCCTGAAAGAAAAAAGTCACCATCCATCCACACAAAGCCTCTATCTCTTCCAATGATTTCCTGCCCTGTTTTATAATTTGGAGTCACTTTTTCATGTTGGCATAAAAATCTGTACAACCACATAATATCTAGCATGATACTTCCCAGTCTTTCCCCTCTCTTTTTCTTTCATTCCTCTTCTGTCATCGTCCCTATCAGAAGGAGAATTGCAATTTCTTTGCTTACTCCACCACCTTTTTTTTGCCTCAAATTTCTCATCTTCCAGCTCTTCTCACCTTCAGACATCCTTTCCCCTTCTGCCTCTCTACCTACAAGACTGTTTCTCGTCCTCCACCTTCTAACTGAGAAGGCTTTTCACAACAGCTGTACTTGTTCCTATTTAATCCAAAAAGATTTTCTCAAGCCAATCAATACCTCAGATCAGTTCCCAATTGAATTAATCTCTGACTGCTTCACTGTCACTGAGACAGTTCATTACCCCCGTCTACTGGAAAGTCCTTTTTTTCTTGACTTCATCCCTCTTAATTTTTACTATAGTAGCTCTCAAGGAATCCCATCAGGACTTGGTTTCATTGTACTAGTTACTGTATAAAGACAGAACACCCTTATTTGCTTCCAAGTAGTTTTATAAGCTTTTCTGGTTAGGAACATGAGTTTGTTTCAGATGTAAGAAGTACTAATAAAGCCATTTACTCCACTAAATAGACCACAGGTACAGGTGATAGGGGTGGGGATGTGGAAGTGACTGCTGAAAGAAAACTGAAGTCCACATATCGCAAAAGGAACTCCAGAGGTGTCTTGCCTCACCATTTCTGTACTAATTTTCCTCCTTTCCAACTTAAATGTTTTGCAATTTTTAGATAGTAAGGCTGTGAAAATAGCATATATGCTCTCTCTAACCCATTTTGAAACCAAACCTGATTTTTAAACAATACTTACCAACTCTGTTACCAGAGCTCGAGAACTTCCAATGTAGGTACTTAGCTGTCGCTGCTTCAAGATATGTAGTGTATTCTCCCTGAAAGCAGTGAAATGTTTTTGAGAAAAATGGTTTTTTAGCAAGCATCTTTTAATAAGGTACAAATACTGCAAGATATTTTTTGTTACATGGAATATGTTTACAGAAGAGACACATTTGGTTTGGCTGGTTGATCAATGGACTGTGTTACTGTTGTGAAACAACATTTCACAAGAAGGACAATATTAGAATCAATTCACATATCTTTGATTTCTTTTGAAAGCATATATTATTTCAATCATTCATGTATTTAACTACGAATTGACTTTTGCATGAGCAGAATTTCCCATTAGCATGGCCAATGGCACAAAGTGATGATAAGAACCTAAACAGGCGACCACCTGAGAAACGTGTAATAAAAGTGGTTTTATCCACTGTAAATAACAGGCTGCTCAGCAGGTGACCATCCCTTATTGTGCCTTATTACGAAAAATCAAATCTGCATCCAGGTCAAGATTAAATTAAGTTGCTTTGATGGCTTTCCTTCTATCCTTGCCTCCCAAAAGCAGTAACTGACTTTTGAGAAAACATACTTCAGTGGGTAGATAGGAAATCTCAGTTTTTACATCTAAGAATTCGAAGAAGTGAATGAACTGAAGAACTTATAAAAATCCACTTCTTTTTAAGAGTGATTCTGTGTCTTTGCCTGTGAACCTTATACTTGATGGGAGCATGTATACAGTCAAAGAAACTCACCAATATACAGATTTTGCATAAAACTCAATATTATCAGAGAAGTCCCCAATTTCATCCTTGGCAATGCTCTCTAGCCAATCTACCACCAGCTGGAATAAAATTAAATTGCATTTTTAAAACAAACATGTAACAAATAGTATTTTAACTGCCTTCCTTTCATCTCTGGATCTACTCGTTATCTACATGGTAATCAAAGGCATAAACATCCTGAAGACTATTCCACTTTCATTTTAATTATCGAATATGAAGGTTGTTTAAGCACTTGATCTCTTTCTCACTACAGTTACTACAGTGCTACTGAACAGTTTATTAATCACCATCAACAATAACAGATGCTACAAATGGGAATAGCTTTCAGCCTTCCATCCTCTCCAAGCTAGCCTGAAAAACATTTCAAATCTTTAGAAACTAAAAAGCATTATTTTTATGCATACAAAGAATAACGTACTTCAGTAAACACAAGGAAATAAGTATTAGAAATTTCTGATCTTTAGAAACCAGAAAGCATTATTTTTATACATACAAAGAATAACACAAAAAAGTGAATATGAAGAAATAAGTATTAGAAACAGCTTAATAAAATGCACAGAGCATTAGTGTTATATACATTTAAGTGCCTACTGATCTATTACCATTCTCATCGTAAAAACTTTCCGTCATACCTGGCTTTGTCGAACAAGTGAATCTTTCTGAAACAAGCTGTCTACATTTGTCTTTTCGCTAGCATTTAAAACCTATTTAAGAAAAAGCCGATTATTACTTCATGGAAAAGAAAACTTGCCACAAAACCACAAATACCAAACTGAACACATACTAATTCATAAACTTCCTACAAGTTCAGTATGCTACCTTTCCCCTACCCTTCTTTTAAAAACTCATGACACTATATATTTGTTTTATTTGGATGATTGTTTACATCAAGAGATTCAGAATATAGTTCACAAATGACCACAGAGAGAAGCTACATAGTAGATCCACTGATTCCACTGACTCTACTCTTATTATCCTAAATCCCATTTATTACTGAATACATTAGAAAAGATGACATTTTCCAAGACCATATGCACACTTAAAATGAACAAATGAAAAAAAAAAAAAACCACCAAAAAACCCCACAAACCAAAAAACCTGACCCCAGAACCCTGATCCTTCTATCTGCTCTCCTGCATTAGTTTAGCTTTCATTAGACTTGCAACAAAAAGAGAACAGAAGATGCATGTTTGTAAAAAACACAGGTAGAAGGAGATTGTGTTTTTGTCACAATAGTGTTTAATAGTGACAACTTAGCAGTAAGAATCCTAGAGGAAGCTATTTTATGACTGAAAAAAAAGCAACTGCGATCATAAATTTTACAAAGGCAGAGTCACTTTACTTATTGTTTTGTCTTCCTAAGCATATTCTGGCAGCAAAGGCTGGAAGCACTGGATTGACGTAGACAAGACGACTACAGCTGAAACAAGAATGCTGAAAAATTTGCATTTCTCTTGTGATAAATTGGAATCAGGATTCCAAAGGCTAGACAGCTTGAGACCACATGTTCTTCTTTTAGGCAAAGCAAAATCATCTCTGACCTATGGGAACATAACTGCTGCTGATGCAACTTCTTTAAAGAAAAAAAATAGTTACTTCTAATGGGTTTTCCAAGTGTACGTGGAATACTTAAGGAAATAAAACAAAGTATAATTTATAATATTCTTACATCAGCATTTTCTATTTAGAACTGAATATTTAAAGTAACTTTTTACAATATATGAAATAACGTAATATCTGTCTTGATAAAAATCAAACCCATCTCATTTTTGTTTACATTCTTTCACCTTTAAATTTTGAATGACTGCAATATTAAGACCGTAAAAATAAAATACAAGCAGTTAGCTTGTATTTAGCTTACTATATTGCTTAAAAATACCCAGAAAGTCCAAGCTTACTGCGATATCAAATGCAGTTTCATCTTCCAGTGCAGACTGTATTCTGTCTCTAGAAATAAAAGTGCAAAACCTTAGTGATTAAAATAAAGCTGAGAAAATTCAGCAGAATGCATAAGTTAAAGCACTTAAAAATACCTTTACAAAAATGTTCTTTAAAAAAAAAAAACACTAGAAGTTGCAAAAGTAATACGAATAGGCCCATTTACAACTTTAATTTCTGGAAATTGATAATAAATAGACATATAGATCAGCATCTAGTTTCACAAACAGATTATTAACACATACTTCATTGCTTCATTCCATATTTATAAACTAATTAAAAACATATCCAAGAAAGTCAGCTCAATGTAATAACATAATGTGCTTTTCAAAGGAATTACCTATAAAGCGAGGACAACAGTCTCCAAGTTACCATCTCCTGCTTGAGAAGCCACAAGACACTAGCAGTTTTCGAAAACTTTTGCTGTCCAGGAGTTGCCCGATAAACTATTTTCCCTAGTATATTCACCTGAGGTACATAAATTTATACATAGTTATTATTGCCCATCATTGTATTTTTTTTCTAAGCCATTATAGCAATCTTTTCATTATCCTGAATGCTCTCAACAACCAAGTTCGATTACCATCCCTTCAAAATAGATAGATGATACTCCACACCATAAATTCCCTTTATCATGAATAAAAATAATATTATCACAGCCTACGCAGCATAAACCAATAGGGTGGCTTTGTTTTGCATGGCACTGTACAAACCCAGGATAAAACCAGCTTATGTTGACCAATTAAAAAGCACCAAAAGACTGAGGGTGAGAAAGCAATGACTAAAAAAACCCCAAACGAACGCAAACCACCAAAACCCCCAACTTTGTTTCCATATACATCAATGTCCAACATAAAGTCAGCCCTAATGGTATTTGTGACAGTATGTATCAGTGCCTAGAAGATACCCTTTCCTTTGTAGCTCTGATAAATGAGGAAACTCAAACTGTTGGTTACCATATAATTTACAGTATCACCAAAAAGAAATTCTATTATATTTTCCTTTGTTTATTATGAAGAAAACTTAGACGATAAAGTCTTCTCCGTCAGTAGCTAGTTCCAGAGCTCCTACTACTTCTAAGAATGGCCCCAAACTCTTACATTTTAGGAGGACCCAATTTGTCAGCCATCAATATATTCACCAGTTTTCAAGTGGGAGGTGAGCAACTGATTTGGAGGAAAGAACGAAGTGTACCATCAAAATGCAAGAGAGGAGCATGACCTTCTGTTCCCTTCTATTATCTCCCAGAAAACATGAAGAGTTCACGGCTGCTAGGAGTGACTGGACTGATCTCAGGGTACAGTTAAGAGGCAGCATGAGAGCTCAGGGCTGTCCCTCCACCTTCATCCCAAGCCCTGTCAGCAACATTCAAGCCAATTCTTGGGGCAACATCCTTCAATCTACTTTTGTAGGTCCTCGGCAACATATAATCAACTCCTCACAATACCAGGTGGCTTAAACCAACCACTCTGTATTCCATGATCTTGTAGACAGTATCCACATTGTCAAACAGGAGGAATGGAAGAGACCTTGGAAGTTCCACCATCTTACAAAATAATCAAGTTCATGTTTATTTTCCTTCTCATGTCTTTTTCCCACTTGGGATCACAGCTGTGGTACACACCTCATTAAAGACCTCAGCATTCTCCAACTCAGCCCCAGCAACAGTGCACAGAACAGGGCTAGCAAGCTTCTACCAAGAATGCATTATCTTAACACAGACACAGGCATGAATTCTCTTTAAAAAATGATCTGCCGACCTCCCTCTTTTGTGATCAACATTTATTGACAGAAGCATCACAATTTCTTCCTTTCAAACTGTCAATACCTGCTGATCCTGAACTGTCAGTCAACAGCCAATCAAATAAAAAACTGTGTCTAAAAGCAGAGACACCTTAAAGCTAACATTGAGACCTCTACTGCCAGCTTGTCAGTAATGTAACAGAAAATTCTTAAAGCGTATTACAATGATTTTATTTATTTATACCCGAGAGAAATAAGTACTTTTTACTCCAGCTTATTATTATTAACAAAAAATCTATACATCTGCTCATGTTTATTGTCACTTGACACTTGCAGTGGAATGGCAGCCAGACAACATTTTTAGTATTCGGCAAGCTACACAATGGGTATTCCTGTGCCAAGGTAGCGTATGAGGAAAGAGAGATGCTGTTCAATGCTAGTGTTCAGTGACTCATAAGACTGCAACCATCTGGAAGATTTAAATTATCTATGTTAAGCACTGTGACTTCCCAGCTTAAAGAAAAATAGCAATACTACTTAGGGAAGGGGCTGTAAAATAAAAGTAAATAAAACCCCAAGCAAACTACTTACCTGACTGTTACAAATACTTTCATACTCATCCACAAGATCGAAAATGGTAGTTGATGTATGCTTCAGGAAGGAATGCAGAAAATCTGAGTACATGCTCATCGTAGCTAGAACAGATTTAAGAAGTAATAGCCATATTAGTCAGACACAACTTGCTAAAAAAACCTCAACATACTACCAGAAAAAAAAAAAAAAAAAAAAAAATCATTCTGATGACAAGACATCTCATCTTTCGTAAATCTAAAAGAGGACAATGATGATATGAACTATTTATACCTCCTAAAGTCAGAAGAAATTATCAGCTAAGACAGTAAGATACATAGAAGCTATGAGGTAAGTCAAATAATTATAAAACTTTTGCTGTAAACATGTCATCTGAGAAAGTTTTAACAACAAACTCATTTGTGTATCTCCACAAAACTAATCCAGTTTGCGTCTTACATCACCAGAGCATCTCATTTGTGCCATCAGGTTCCACAAAACACACAAAGTCTCAAAACTCCAATCACTGGAGAGATGACTTTCTGAACTTTTTAAACCAGACTGTTTTTGACAAAGAAATATCTCAGCAAAATAATACAGAAAAAAAGAACATATAATCTTATATCCCTGTGCTGATTGTGGCTGGGATGGAGTTAATTTTCTTCATGGTAGCTAGTACAGGGCTATGTTTTGGATTTGTGTTAAAAACACTGTTGATACTACAGGGATGTTTTCGTTACTGCTGAGCAGTGCTTACACACAGTCACCCCACCAGCAAGTCGGCTGGGGGTGCACAAGAAGTTGGGAGGGGACACAGCTGGGACAGCTGACCCCAACTGACCAAGGGGATATTCCATGCCATAAGACATCGTGCTCAGCATATAAAGCTGAGGGAAGAAGGAGGAAGGGAGAGGATTTTCAGAATGATGGTTACTTCCCAAGTAACCGTTATGCATGATGGAGCCTTGCTTTCCTGAAGATGACTGAACACCTGCCTGCTGATGGGAAGTGCTGAATGAATTCCTTGTTTTGCTTTGCTTGCATGCCTGGCCTTCTCTTTACCTAGTAAACTGTCTTTACCTCAACCCATGAGTTTTCTCACTTTTCCAATTCTCTCCCCACCCCGCTGGGGAGTGAGCGAGCGACTGCGTGGTGCTTAGTTGCCGGCTGGGGTTAAACCACGACAATCTCATAAATAAAAAATGCAGTCAATTATTACGAAAACTTCAGATTGTCTCACCAGCTTCACCAGGATCATCCTCACGCAACAGTACAGCGCTCATAGTGACATCTTCTGTCATATTGGATATGTCTAGATTTACAAACATTCCTGTCTGCTGAGGTGAGAGCGCCATTGTCCAGCTACTTTCATCCAACTAAAAGCATAACAAGAACATAAGGAAAATAAATAGCAATCTCAGATTATTGCAAACCTAGCTCCAAGTTTTTGCATTCTATATGAATGGTATAAAGAGAGGAATTCTAAAAATTAGTAGTTAAATAACTGCCTTTAGATAAGGTGCAACTATGCCTTTAACAAACAGCTCTGAAAAGATAAATTTTAGCATGGAAAAAGGAAATTAACAATGGGCTTTTTTTAGGAAATAACTAAAGTAGACGTTAATCTAATAAGACTGCCTACTTTAAAACACCATGTATCACTTTTCATCTTAAAACAAATCACTCTGAACTTTCATATTCCATTATGCTAAATGTTTACTTTGAACAACAAAATACTAAGTAAAAAAAGACAGAATAAGACTGACTTCATTGTAAAGCAGCTGCCAAAAGTTAAGCAAAATAGTTAGAATTTGAATCAAAACCATTTATCAGTCTTTTAACCTTCTCGGTGAATTGCTCAAAACCATTTGATTGAATGAAGCAATACATGTTTAAAATAATAGCAAGTATCACAATATTAAAGGAGGAAATAAAGACATACTTATACTCCTTGGGGAGTATTTCAGGAAGGTATTTGATAACATATCTGACATCAGAGCGTAAAATGGCCAAAACAGAAGATAGACTCTACACATACTGCACTGACAGGACAGCTTCCTATAGCTGTTCTCATGATATACCTGTTATTCTTCCTTTTATATCCCAGCTGCTACCTACAGTATTTCTCTTCTCTGATTTCTCTCTGTCACTATTACCCTCTAGCCAGCCAGAACAGAATGCTACAGCACTCTGACTGCAGAGTAAAAATAACAAGAAACACAGTTCTAGTAAAATCGTATCAGGTCTCTGTGGGAAATACAAAAAGGGCTGATGAGTGTTCTTATCTACCAGCAAGTAAGTTTCCACAAGACATAATTTTAAGTCCTTTTTCCATCACCCTCATGTGAAAGCCTTTGCCTAGTCCCAAATCTCTCCCTGCTAATCTAAACTGGATTGAAGTCAGAGCACTAAATGCTAACCTAAGATGTACTCCACTCGCAAAACACTAGTTACAGAATGACAAGAGGCTCTGAATCAGAGGAAAAGTGCCACTGCTAAGAGCTGTATACATGTTGATCAACTAGGCACCAGAACCTGATAAAGAAACAAATGCGCTGTAACAAACTATAGAAACAACCAGAAGGGAGAATAAATTAAAATGCACATACAGAAAGACATTTTAACTTGGTTTGAGTTAATTTAAAAATAAACAGAGATAAAATACTTCAGATGTCCCTACTGATAACTTTTCTAATCAGCGTTTTTCCAAAGACATTACAGTAGAAGAATGTCATCTGAAGAGTCATCAGAACAGCTTGTTTTCTGAAGTCCAAACTTGAACATCCAAGTGAAGCCTAATACTGGAAAGTGGTAAAATAAGAAAAATTCTGAAGGTTTAACTTGCTGACTTTTGTAGTTACAAGCACTCTCTTAACACCTATGGTGTATTTAGCAAGTCCTTAAAACCCTCTGTTATTCCTCACTGCATCATCTCAAAGACCACCCCAGTTATAAATAATACTAGTAGCCAGCAGCGACAGTAGTATTAGCAAGCTTGTACCACCCACAGTTTGCCCTTGGCGCAAACAACACCAAAAGACTGTAAACTTGTAGTTTCTTATAAGTTTCACAGAAACAAAAGAGGAAAAGGTGCCCTAACCATCTTACCATTGACAGACAGCCAAAAAGTCCAGGAGTTGGTAGAATCGGAGATTTTCCTCCTGTTCCCAGGATGGCAGACATATCTGAAGGCTTCATGGAGCTTCGATTTAGTGCAGTAGCTGAAAGAGAGAGATGTTTTCTGAAAAGAAGTATATAAGGACATTATGGTCTATCAAGGAGCATCTTATAAAGGAAGGAAATCTTACAATGGAGATTAAAGTATTTATGAAATCCTGCTCGGTCACACAAGAAACAGACAAACCAACCTGATAGAGTAGTAACTTGCTCCTGTCCATCTTCATTTTCCTTCCATCAGAAGGCTTGTACCAAACCCACAAATGCCAATTATAAAAGAAAGACAAGTCTTAGGCCCAACAACACTTAGAAAGAAGGTTAATAATCAATAATGGGACTTAATCTACACATCTCGTTATACTAGGCTTATACAAACACTCTGGTTAACCAAGTCTGGAGCATACTCAAGCTCTAGTTTTCCAGGTAGGGCATGTATAAACATAAAGACAAAGGGTATCTATTGTCATTTCAGTTCCTCCTCATGTGCAGCAGCATTCCATACAGAAATCTGAAGCGAGGTTGAATGCAAGTGTAAAAACGCACCGAATATGTGACACACCTTCAGTTACCAAAGAGTTCATTGATACACTCACACCATGAGCATAAATAGCAATAAAATACCACTCACTCCTCCTTGGAAATTGGTCTCCAAATCCTTAAAGCAAAAGGCAACAAGTCTGCTCTACCAAGCACTACACCTGCTCCAGATACTCCTGCACGGTGTACAGGTGGCGTTTCCAGGAATATCTGACATAAACCTGCATAAACAGACCCTCACACAGGGCTCACACAGCCCAAAGACCACAGGATTTGCACCGAGACAGTAGCTGCTTGGGTCCTCCTATCAACCACAAACAGCCTGGAAAGTCATCTAAAAACAGTGGACAGCCAAATCAGGAGCTGACAACAGCTGCAAAGAGGGAATGACACATAGTCCTCAAGTTTTATTAGCAAATTTGGAGACAGAAGTGCCTGTACAGCCCTCAGAAGCAGTTCTTGATAGAAAGACAGCTTCAGTCAGCATCGAGATCATTAACATTTCCTTTGGACTTGAGGACTGCTGGAATCCAAGATGCCTACAACAGCATGTACAACCAGAAAATAAAGAGCATGTCCAGGATCTCCCCCAGACTCATCCCGAAGAATGCAGGAGCATATCTTGTCAGATCTCTGACACCCTCAAATTATAAAGGGGCAAGGCCATTGCAAACAGGTGCAGGGACCCTAGAAGGCTTTGTATCAATAGGTAGATTTTGTTTTCCATCCATCAGTTTCACATAGATTGAGAAAGTTGAAGAACCAAAGGTTTCTGTCCCAAGGTTTATGTCCTTGTATTAGCACAGACCTTGAATCACCACAAATAAACTTTACCTAAACTCTTGAGATGTGAAAGTCAGGCATACTGAATATCAAAGAGACAAATCAATTCCCAATCTGTAGAACTAGAATTATGGCTACTAACATTAACAGTCTGACTCTGAAGTTGCAGATCAAAGCATTTAAATTGTTAATGGGTCATCATTCACCTCTCCTTCATGGTACCAGAAAATGACTGCTACCCATATGATATCATGCACTCAGGCGTTAGGAACTTACAGAGTGGCAGAAAAGAACTACATTGCATAATCCTCAAATACAGTTTCTAATACCCTCAAATCAAGAAGTAGGAGCAACTGACGTCAAAGGAAGCAAAAAACCTTGTCCCCAGGAGAAAAGATAATGGACGCACTTCATGAGAACACTTTACATGTTCCACTGTAGGAATGGACTGTACAGCGGAAACAGAAACAGGAGTGAAAATGCTGATGCTCTGTTTGTTGCAGAATCTTAAGACAGTTTGAAAAAGTAGCTCTAGCCTATGTAGCAGATGACACTTGTGACTCTCAGAAAATCTGTACAGTGCCACGGTGGAGATAAAACAGATAAAACAGCCAGGATGCCAAGGAGAAATGCAGAGCTGTAATGAAGAAGTGCAAAATCTTTAGATTGAATAGTGCAGGAATGTCAAATAGGAAACTTTTTGTAAGGACTGCCCGTCCACTCATAATGCTGCATGAAGACAGTTTATCACAAATGATAGCCACCCATATGAGTAGTTGTCAGCTGTACTTCGGGAAGTTTGCAGAGAGAATCATTACTCAGAAACCAGAAAGTCTCCTTCTGAAGTCCATTAAAAAATAGATGGTAGGTTTACAGAGGGTATGCTGTCTAGTAACATCTCCTGATATAACATCTCTATGCTGACCAGCCATACAAATGAACCAAACTGCTCAACATTAGACCTTCTTGATCAGCTTATTTTGCATCTGACATCTCTGCTTTCACCTGACATCAACTGTCTATATTTTTTTGGGGGGCAGCTGCTGCACAAACAAACTGTACAGCACCTCTTACTGAAATTCTGTACTGTTGAGCTTTCTGAAAATAGACAAACCGGAAACTTCACAGTGACAAAAACATGGCAAGATGTTCGATCAACATGCTAACCGGAATAAAGATCTTCACTGAAGACAGACAATGGTCAAGATGGTATCCACATACTCTAATTTGAAGATAGAAGTGGGAAAAGAGCTACTTGATTTTGAAATGCTCTCTGACCGTCACAGTGTGACACAATGCTTCACTCTTTAAAACAACTAACACATCACCCCATCTCCAAGCAATCCTGAAAGGAAGATGTGGACCAGCAGATGGTGCAGCCATCCTCTTGGAGCTTGATGGAAAACACACTGGCTAGATGATGATGAGAAAGGGGAAGCCCCTTATATAAATGCCTGAATAATGACAAAATAAACACTACACGAAGAGACTGTGGCAAGGAAAAGGGAGGTAAACCCTGGTGATGATATGGAAATATAAGAAATGGGCATGTTTCTTTATTTCACCCACAACTAGTAGGGGAGGCTCTAAGAGGATTACAGACCTTTTCACAATATGTTTAGTGTCAAGTCAACACTAAGAACAATCTGCATTTTCACTGCAAGAGCTGTCAATGCTGACACACAAGTAGCTCGTGCTTGAGAAGGAGGCTGATGCTAACAGCATCTATATTTGCTGCTGGCCGCCAAAACAGAAGCCACTAAATATTACACTAAATGAGAACAAGCAGGGGCTACACAGAACTTGCCAGGAACCCTGAGAAATCATGAAGAATCAGTCTTTCTGGAACTTTGTATCTTTGCACCAGTGCCAGTTTGGGAACAATCCCCAACTCACTCCCCATATGGGTCAGCTGATGCAGAATACAGGGGTTGAGATTGGAAGGTTTCAGGGCAACCTGACCCTAGCCACCACGTGCAGTTCCACAGCCTTTCTGTGAGGTATGCCACCTAATTTCTTGTCCTGTTAGTGGAGAGGGGAATCATTTACCGATGCAACCAATAAATACACCTGGTAGAAAGGTTAGCCACAGAAATTAACCTGCCACAAAAACAAGGATGGAAAAGTACCTGAAGAGTCACACTACATGACAGATAAGCTTGAAGAATTAACAGCTACTGCAAAACCAAAGGAAGTTGTGAAAAAGAAGGAAACACAACAAACTAGATTGCTGACTAGTATGGCAAGAACCAGTTTCAACGTGGTACTTGAGAGAAACTGAAATGATACTGGACATACTCCTGTGCCAAAGACAAAACAGAAAATGAAGCTCAAACACCCCCTAAAAACCAAAAGGCAAAAAACTATTGGCATTCAACAAGAGAATAAAGATACAACATATAAACATATATGTTGACTGCTACTAGGTGTTTTTTTCCATATTTATAAATGTATTTAACTTCAGTATCACAGGATCAGTAGTTGAGGTTGGAAGATACCTCTGGAGAACATCTGCTCCAACCCCTCGGGCCAAAGAGGTGTCAATTAGAAAAGGTTGCTCAGGACCATGTCTAGTCAGCTTTGGTTATCTCCAACGACGGAGACTCCACAGACTGTCTGGGCAACCAGTTCAAGTGCTCAATCACTCTTATAGTAAAAAAATTTTTTCTTATGTTTAAACAGAATTCCCTGTATATCCTGCTGTGCCTATTGTCTCTTGTCTTTCCCCTGGGCACCACTAAGAAGAACCTGGCTGTCTTTTTTACTCTCTCCCATCAGGTATTTATGCACATTGACAAGATCCCCCCAAGCCTTCTCTTTCCCAGGCTAAACAACCCCAGCCCTTCTCAGCCTCTCCTTATATGTCAGATGCTCCAATCCCCTAATCAACTTTGCAGCCCTTCACTGGACCCACTACAGTACATCCATGTCTTTCTCATTATGAACTTATTAGTTATCAGTTATGAAGTCCAAGCTTATATTCCTGTAACTGAACACTAATGAAAGAAAGTAGTCTTACCTGGATGGCGAAGCAATGAACTAGGAGTTCGGGAAATCAACTGTCCTCTGGGTGTCATGTTTCCAACAGTGTCATCCAAGGATGTAAGAACTGATTAATAAACAAGTTAAGAAACGCTCTCCTAAACATGCTTTTGGCTCTATTCAAACCGACTGAGAATACTTGGAAAGGAACGGTATTTTGCTGTAGCTCAAATATTCTAATGATTACATATCTTTCAGGCCCAAGCAGAAAGTCCCATTCATAAGCCTGAGTTAGGTCACAAAATGTTTCACCAGAAGCTTAAAGCTGGAGGGCTACCAGGGACACTGCCAAGTAAAGTTCAGAAACCCGAGCACAACAGGTCTGTCACTCCTCACATCTGCTCAAAGCGAATACTTTTGCCCCATGAGGAGCTGCTTTATGCTACATAAACCATAACAAGAAAATCTGAGACTGAATTCATTTAGAAAAAAAGTTCTCTCTTGGCTTCACGACGCTGACAGCATTAGGTTGTTGTTCTACTTTGCCTCTTCCTGTCAGCAACTAGTGCTCTAGGTACGGCTTACTAAGAAGTAGTTGTGTAAAGTTTTCAGTATCCTATGTTATATCAATGTCCAAGAACATCATTAATCTTAGGGACAATATAATCAGGGTCAATATCTCACTATTTTTATTCTGCTTGCAAAAAAAAGGACAAGCAAGTGTACTGGATTCCTTTGCTATCATAACCAGAAAAATACCATTATTTCTGCCAGTTACATGGTATTTTTTCTTATTGTACATTGGGGAAAAAATTCTGTGGAAAATTAAATCTATGTCTGTGCGCTCCTCTTGCTATTACTATGGATGGAAAGCTAAGATATACACTGAATAATCACAATACTCTGATAACATAGTACATGCAAAAGAGCATAAAACCAAGATATAATGGAGTGACAAAAACTTCATTATTGCAAAAACTCAGGGATGGAGTCAGCTGTGGCTCACAGTTCTCTGGGCTGACGTCAACCTCAGTTCATAAGTCCATGAAAAACTGTAAAATATGACGCTACACAAATGTGATGTCACAAGTTTAGGAGATACGCAATGCAACATCCCTGCAACCATATTTAACCTAAAACCAAAATAATCAATCTAAATATAGTAAAGAATTGACTATACAAGCATTTCAACATTCTCTTACTTTCCCTGAAGTCTAGTGAATATCTGTTCTGAGCCATCACTACAACAGCTTTGACATGGCTTAAGACTAAAATGGGGGGAAAAGAGGGGGGAAAGAAAATTCCATTCAGAAGAAAAACTATTCTGTGAAAAGGTAAAGAATTGCATCTTTTGGCTTATTCTTAAGTTGTTCTGTAAAGGCCAAGTAACACACTACATTGCTGAAAATGTCATATTTTTCTAAATGAAATTCATCCAGGTTTCCTAGTTGCACCTGCAGTCAGTCACTAATATCCCCCCCTAACAGTTTTTAGATATTGCAATCATAGTTTTGGTTTTAGAATTTTTCTCCTTCTTAATGCATAAAAATGCCACACAGAAAAGAGGCTACAGAAGAGGAAATATGAGACAGTTCAAAAGCAAAGTTTTGACTGCAGAATACCTCACAAATCAGATTAACAATTTCACATTATGTTCATACATTCCTCACTTTAAATGGGTATAAAACAAAGATTAACTTGCTGTATATTTGAAAACCATTCTCAACACACTCAAAATCAAAGCAGTGGTAAAAATACACACACATTGTAAACACAGCAAGCAATGATTAAAGAGAAGATAAAAAGTCTTTACACAAAAAAGATACTAGAAACTCTTTTCTGAGAGCTTTGCTTCCGTCCGGGCCTGGCCACCTCTGCATCACGGGGGGATGACATGTCTCCAAAATCATTTCTAGAGAACAGCAACATAGACACAAAGCACATGAATCCAGGCAGAACACACAACAAGATTTGTTTGTTCCTTCAAGTAACTCCACAACTGGCAAACTTAAACAAAGTGTAAGTCACTTCTAATTCTAGTACTGATGTCCCATTTCCTCTACAGAATATCCAGTATTGCTCATCAGCTCAGGAAAATGAGTTTGTCTGAAAACCCACACTTTCTTCCTCCTACATCACAACAGACATTTTCTAATTAAAAAAAAATAGCTAGTACGAGATGCAACAGCATGAAATTAAATTCTGAATTGAAAAATTCAATTGAAAGAATGACGTGATTTCACTATTTGATTTTTTTTTTCCTCTCCAGATACACAAAATCACCACAGACTGAGAAAGTTCAAGCGTGTTGCAGAAGGGGAAAAAATGGTTGACAATTACTAAAACGCAAAGGAGAAGGCAGAGGTGGGCTGCTGTCGTGGTTTAGCCCCAGCAGGCAACTAAGCACCACGCAGCCGCTCGCTCACTCCCCCTCCCGCAGTGGGACAGGGGAGAGTATTAGGAAAAAAACCTCGTGGGTTGAGATAAACACGGTTTAATAGGACAGAAAGAAAGAAGGAAGCAACAATGATAATACCAACAAAGGAATGTACAAGAACAAGTGATGCCCAATACAGCGATTGCTCACCACCCGGCCATCGACAGCCCGTCCCCGAGCAGCGATTTCCGCCCCCCGGCCAACTCCAGTTTATGTACTGGGCATGACGTCGTATGGTAGGGAATATCCCTTTGGCCAGTCTGGGTCAGCTGTCCCGGCTGTGTCCCCTCCCAGCTCCCCGTGCACCCCCAGCCTGCTCGCTGGCAGGCCAGCACAAGAAGCTGGACTGTCCTTGACTGCTCAGCAACAACTCAAAACATCAGCACGTTATCAACAGTTTCTCATCCCAAATCCAAAACACAGTCTCACACTAGCTTCTGTGAAGAAAACCAGTTCTATCCTGGCTGAAACCAGGACAGCTGCGAAGGCCACAGCTGTGACTGCCTAAGCAGGCCTATCTGCAGAGCACCCTGCAAAGGCCCAGCTCAATGATTCCTGCATAATTAACAATTTCAGTTTAATCTATAAATATATTCCAGAAAAAAAACCCAAACCGATTTAAAGCGCCCGGTGGCATCAAAGCCTCGGATACGCCTCAGAAATTGTCCCAGCCCTGTCGCGTTTTTCAGCCCGCCCACCGCTCCTTCGAGGCCGCTACAGGGGGA